TCCACACCCAATAATACTCTAATAATACTCCAACAATACTATAATCCAAGGGCAATATGCATGAATGCTTACACAAGTGAACATATGAACACACAAATATATGCACTCATGATTACACATGTGCATTCATACCCACACACAACCGCTAGCAAATACACATACTGAGATACTCTATAAAATGCAAACATACACAGATACTCACAGACATAGATGCACATTTTTAGGCTAACAATGTATCTGTGGAAACATTTGCCAGGAGGGTAAATGCTTGGGGAGAGACACCAATTTTCAGATTTAATGTAAAAATATGTGGTGTGACAAACAGGAAAATGGCTCAGTAGAGACGCAGTTTTCCCATTCTGTAGCAAGGCTTGTGAAATAATATGACATTTAAAAGCTAAAGAAAATCTGGATCCCCTTGTCTCTTTGGTACAGGCATTCAAGTTTAAAGTAGAAAAGATACCGTCGAAACGACAACAATGTATTGGACAGCCCCCTCCCCCCTCCCCCCATTTAATCCCTATTCCTCCCACGCCCCCCAACCTCTACAATTTCTAGAATTACTGGATAAACTGGAAATGTGAAAGCCAATAATTGTGTTTTGTGTTCTAGTGACACATAACTCTGAAACCACACCTATTCATTTATTGCACGTTCCACTTACATTCCAACATCTTTATGGTTAAGATGGTTAACCGTATTTGGTTGTGAATGTCTTAATGTCCATAAATGAAAATGTAATTTATATTATTCATATTTCTAAATATTTACGTTCAATGGCCACTTTATTAGGTGCATCTGTTCGACTGCCCTTTTAAGCAAATATCTAATCAGGGAATCATATGTCAGCAGCATAATTAATAAAATCATCCAGATAGAGGTCAGCAGTTTTAGTTAATGTTCATATGAAACACCAGAATGGGGCAGAAAGGTGATTTAAGTGACTTTGAGCGTGGTGTGGTTGATGGTGCCAGATGGACTGGAAGGAATATTTCAGAAACTGCTGCTCTGCTGGGATTTTCACGCACAACCATGTTGAGAGTCTACAGAGAATGAGCAGAAAAAGAACAAAAAACATCCAGTGAGCAGTTCACTGAGTGCAAAAGGCTTGTTGATGGCAGAGGTCAGAGAAGAATGGCCAGATTGGTTCAAGCTGATAGGGAACAGTAACTCAAATATCCACTCGTTACAACCAAGGTATGCAGAAGAGCATCTCTGAATGTACAACAGATCAAACCCTGAAGCAGATGGGCTACAGCAGCAGAGGACCACACTGGATGCCACTCCAGTTAGCTAAGGCTATAGTGGCCACGGACACACCAAAATTGAACAATAGAAAACTGGAAAAATGTTATCTGGTCAAATGAGTTTTGATTTCTGCTGCAACATTCAGATGATTTGAGAGGTCCAGATCTTCACCCATTAAATGTGACTGCAAAGTTTGGAAAAGATCCTTAAAATACTTTGCGAGTTATTGCTCTAATGAGATCAAGTGCACCTACAGAATGCGTCTGCAAAGTTTTAAAAAAGTTCCATCGAATACTATTTGAGTTATTATCTTAACAAGAAATTGTCTATGGCAGTAGAGGCAGTAGGAGTAGTGGATTTGGCGCACCAGTCAAAAAAACCATATGCATTCCCCATCCACGGAATACAATTATGAGAATAAGAAGCATGAATAAGATCAACAAATCGCAAAGAGCCCCAAATTTTTCCTAAACTTCCAAACTTTATCATGTTATACTTGTGATTCGGTCTTTTCCTGCAAGACTCCTATTAGGTGTCTGTATGTCACCATGCTTCTGATTGAAATGCCACTATAACTCCTGTTGCTTTTATGTCAAAGTGATTCCTGTGTGAAGTATAACTGCAGTCATTTTAAAAGCATACTACTGCGTATACTTCTGTGAGTGTATCACTAATTCGTGATCCAAAACTTTCACACTGCAAGTAGGCTACAGTGGTACCTCAGAACTCGAACTTAATCCGTTCATACCTCCGGATCGAATTCTAAAAAGTTCGAGATCTGATCGAATTTTCCCCATAAGAAATAATGGAAAACCAATTAATTGGTTCCCAGCCCCAAAAAATGACACCTAAATATGTTTTTTTTAGCATTTAAACGCAAAATGAACCGGATAAAAGAAGAAGAGCATATACTGTACTAAACACATCTAAGCACATTTATCAGTAATTTGTAAAGTAAGAAAATAAATGTATCCAAACAATGTGTAAAATTAAAAAAAAAAACAATGTGTCCTGCCCCGATCGTCCGCTCCTTCCGTGTGCCACGCCCCCTCACTAACCCCGTTTGGAATCCAAGTGTGATCAGCTGTTTCTGGTTGTTTTCATTAGCCCTCTGTATTTCGTCCGCGTTTCAGTTTGTTTCCCCACTCCGGTTATTGTATTGTTTGTCTGTGTTTTGCCTGCCTTACCTGTAATTAAACCTCGTATTCCCCAATACACTGACATCTGCGCCTTTGTCTCCATTCCGTCCCCACTCGCGCGACAATATTATTATAATTAAATGTATTAATGGTTTATTATCAATATTAAAATAATGAATAAGAAATCTTTATTTTTAAATGTATTTTATTATATAATAATATTCACTGTTACTGTCAATCATTGTCTAAATGTATTTTACTGTCTAAATAAATTGTATTCAGTTAGTGTAAACATGCACGATACTATCACAGCGAATGTGAGGCTGAGACTGAAGCTTTACCCTTTGTTGAAGATGTGCTTCGTGACTCATTTCCCCGCGCGTACAAGTTATCTTAGGTCAGCGTTCACGGTTTGACTTCTGAGATTCAGATCGAGTACTAGGTAATTTTTTTTCGAACTGGTTGGTTCGACTTTTAAGAAATTCGAGTTCTAATGAGTTTGAGAACTGAGGTACCACTGTATTTGAATTTTTTTTTTTCAATCTCAGCATTCAAACATTACATATTCCAGGACTGTCCCCAATGATAACTGATTACTGTTCAATATATGTACTTAAGTCCATTCTGGAAAAGTCTGGTCAGAGCTGTACGTTTGAAAACCAACTGGGATCACATATGCGGAAAGTTGATGTGCGAGTCTGTCACCAGGCGACATTAGCCTCCAGGACACTACAACAGCCTGTGGGCTTCTGTCCCTTCTCTTCCTGTGGAGTTCTGATCCAATTTTCATCATTCACACCCTCTCTGCTGCAAAAGAAGGAGCACTTACGTGTCATTCACCTAGCACCCAACAACAATGTATTTCCGGATATTAGGAATATAATTACTTTAGGTGTATTTTTTTCTGCAGGCTCTCTCAATGTCTCTAGTAGGAAATTAAACACATTTGAAAAAACACACAATAGTAGGATGATAACCAATACACAAACAGACAAACTAGAAACTGCATGAAAATCAGTGAATAACATATTTAATACCATTCCAGCTTTAGCCCTGTGCATGGAAAACATTGTAGATAAGTGGATCAGTGTCTCTATAGATGGATGATTAGGAATTGAATATTTTACTAAATTAATATGCTGCATTAAAACTTGGTTGCATAGTTTGAGAAAGATGGCATGATTTAGATCTGTGGATAAACCAAATACCCAGCAGTGAACATCAGTAAAGGGTTAGTTTGCTAGCTAATGCTACTAACACTTAACTACCATTATAGCAGCTGTCTCAGTAAATATGCCAGTAGTCCCTGCATATAATTGCTAATGTTTTTTTTTTTATTTAAAAAGTGTTCATTAAAATATATGTAGTAATAATATTCAGCATGAAATCTATCACTTTTAGACTTTTAGAATTGACTTCTTCTTTTTAATGTTTTGTTTATTTATGCAAAAAAAAAAATCTAGATTTAGAAAATATCATCATCATTCATTTTACAGTCCAGTGCAGGGTCTCAAGGGAGCTTAGAGTAATAGTGTAACACAAGAAGAAAATGCAAACGCTACACAAACACTACCTACGAATTTCAAACAAAAGTCTTACTCACTTAGTGTTACTCAAAGCCACAATGCCACCAAGAATATCAATATATTATATGAATAGGGGAAACAGTAAGAATCCACTTGTCTTGATATGCCTGAGGTACATAATTGTTTTCTCAAAGACAAATGCACTACTGGATAGATGTTTTTCATTGTCATCCGTCAGTTCATATCTAGAACGAAACCCATTGCATTGTTCTTCATTTTCATAACCGTGGACAGCTTCCAGTCAAGATAACACAATTTTGTCTACTTCAATGCAGGCACACAAATTTTGATATTTGCACTTAAAATGTTTTGTGTATTCCTATACTGTGATGCTACTTTGTAAACAGGAAAGTAGGGTTGTATTGATAACACTAAGTTGGAAGTCTTAACTGGACACATACATGTAAGAGTAAACAAATTCTGGAGGTAATGCAATCGATAAAAATGCACAACTGTGCTGCTTGATCTCTAAAAGGAATGAGATTTTATGATGAAAGCGTTCAACTTTAGCTGATAGTACTCATAATGCAGAAGCTAAATGTCTCAAGCCTGAACATCCTCAGATGTTGTAGTACATCAAATATAAACTTTCATTAACACAAATTCGGGAGAAAGACATACGTGGTCCACTTCGACCCTGTACGATTAAGTCCTTAACAACCCTGAAGTCCCCACATTCTGCCATGATCCAGCATTTGCTGTTTCTTGTATTAAGTAACCGATATTCACCATACGCTATAACCAGAATTTAGCCACTTAGAAAGACAAAAAAAAAAGGTAATCTTGCAGTGTTAGTTTCGGTGCTTAAATAATTTTATTATAAAATGACGTTGTTCGCATTAATAGATACCTTTATTTAAGTCGGACAATTCATTTAGTTCACGGAGTTTAACGTATATCGCGCATTTACGTTTTCCTTGAGAAATTAAGTTAAACCCGAAGTACAGTAAAGAGAATTTCCAATGTATTCGAAATCAGCGGTGAGGGGTGCAGATGGACGTTAGTCAGGCGAGCAGCATCTGCTTACCTTCATTAGGACCCAGTGAAAGAAGATCGTAAAACACCAACGGAGCATCTTCATCGCGTACTTAACGGTACACCTCACGCAAATCACTAGGCTATAGGTTCTGGCTGAACTTAAATGAATACGGCTTCAGTGACTGGAAACAAGTCTAAAATGCTTATTGTAGTTGGATGGATTTACTATAAATGAAGACTTTTTAAATTCAACTTTTAAAGAACTTCTTATAAATTTTAAAATCCCATGCTGGAAATAAAAGCGTACCGACTAAGGTTTGTATTTCAAAAATAAATTTAAAAATTAATCTAATATGGTAAATATTCGGGTTTCCTCAACAAGACGGAATCTGCCAGTTTGTGGCATAAGCGTTTTCTTCTTTCTTATTTTCATCCAGTCTGTCAGTCACAGACAAGACACGCGCACTCACACACACACACTGCCGCGCGAACAGACGCGCGCGCTCACACACACACACACACACACACACAGCCGCGCGCACAGACGCGCGCGCTCACACACACACAGGCTGCTCGGACACGGACATACTCGTGTTTTCCATTTGTAGTCTGCAAGGAACACCTGTTAATGGCACCAGTTTTCATATTTTTCAAAGAACTGCTCATTTTATTTTAACAGACGAGTATAAATAATCAACAAGAAAACGCTTAAAGTTTTTCATCCAGATTGCTTCTGCAGTTAAGCCCTGCAGTTAACTGCAGTTAAACATTTAAGTTTTCCCCCATTACGGAAAACTCTATTTTATAAAAATCGGTGACTGCTATGAAAAAACTAAAAATGCAAAAACTCTTGTATTTTGTTAGGTTACTTATGGTTATGGTTAGGGCAGGGTAGGGGTTAAGGTTGTCATAGTTAGCGTTAGCATTTTTCCCATTGAAATGAATGAGCGGTCCCCATAATGATATGTTTACCCTACATGTGTGTGTGTGTGTGTGTGTGTGTGCGTCCACCCTGTGCTGTGTGAGTAGTCGGGGTGGTCAGCATGGTGGGCTGTGTGTGAGTTGTAGGAGTGAGTGGAAAACTGACAAGTGACGAAAGTTTTGGCTGTAGCAGCACGACAATGAATATTGAGCCTGTGGAGCTCCTGACGAACAGTTTCAGTGGAAACAGGAGAGTTGAGGTGAGCATTTAATTCTGCAGTGAGTTGGGCAGCTGTGGTTTTATGTTTTTTGGATACAGCCTGGTTTAGTGCCCGGACATCCCATTCAGACAGCTTCCTCTTGCATCCACAGATACTCTTGTTTGATGTGGTTCGTCCTATGTGGTGGTATGCTGACATAGTCCTGGATACCGTGGTTCTCCATACATCACAAAGACTTGCTGTCCTAGTCACAGATGTGCAAGTGAGATGTGCACCAACAATTTCTCCTCTTTTGAGCTCTGATATGTCTCCTATTTTTTTGTGTGAATCGCAATATTTTATATACAGTTGTGCTATTATCCTGCTAATTCAATCTTCACACTCTGCCCTTATAGATGGAATGTGTGATCAGTGAAGATTGGCCACCAGGCCACACTTACATGGGTGTGAAACCTCAAACTAGTTTGGCCAGTGTTTCAGTTTCACCAACTGTCCAACCTAAAAATATTTAGGCTAACCTGAGGAATCTAGATGGACCAATGGAAATGAACAATCTGAATGCAGTAATGGGTACTTGTGAAAATACACATAGAGCAGAAGAGCTTTATGAAATTATAATTTTAAGAGTCACTGACTAGCAGGGTTTAAATATAGACTGAGCCTGGTCGAGCGCAGTTCCACCTCCTTATGTCCAAATCGCACCTTGCTGGAGCGGAACTCCGCCTCCTTAAACATTAATCTTTTTTTCCTAATGTCCCAAAATTTTGCAAAAGTTCAAAATAAAGTTTTTTATTTTAATATTAATTTTCATTAGTAGCTCTGTGCCATGGATGTGCATTTTCACTTATTTCACTTACCATACTGCTGCCAAAACTTCACTTAGTAGCTAGACTCTGCTAGAGGTAAGATGTGAAAGAAGCAATCCATGAATAACTGATATTTTGATGCATTTTCATGAGGGCATTAAGAATATTAAAAATAGAGTAAGCAAGAATAGTACTTGATTCATTTTTAAGTTTCATTTTAATGTCATGTTTTAAAAAAATGAAGTCCTATGTAACCATACAATATGTTCAAAACCCATACCAAATAATTAACTTTTACATAATTTATTTTGTATTGCTTCAAAGTCGTAACTACATGCCGACAAATGAACTGCATCTTTAAGTTTGTGGTCATACATAGATATGATAACTAATACATTAATGTGGCATAATTAGGATCCCCCCCCCCCCTCCATACCTGACAGGGCTCCCCCTTCTCTCTGATTATGATTTAATTAACCCCTGCTGACCAGGACCAGTGTGACTCTTGGAATTAGGGGAAGATTCCTTCCCATTACACATTGGAAATGAGTCCTTCTTCCTGAATGGAGGTCACTTTTTTGCTAGATTCTGAGAATAATTACTTTTTCTTATTTGATAGATGGAAGAAAGAATCACTTATCTGATACATATTGTGAATACTTTTACCATACAGGCGCTACTTTCTTTGTATGTGTCACGTGGCAAAAGGACAAAGGACGCAGGAGCAAAACAAAACTAAAGGGGTTTTATTAAGAATCAAATGAAACAGAACAGAACTGGGGCTGGAAACAAACAGGACCACAGGGGGTCAAAACAGGAGGACCGCACAGGGGAAGGACACGAGCAAACAAGTGTAACAATGTCTGAGAGCACATTTATACAACAGTAATGAGGAAGCAAACAAGAGGCAGCCCATGTGAGTAACATAAGGCCAGGAACAAGAGGTTAGACAAGCGCATTACAGGCCAGGCTTGTAGGGTCACGCCAGGGAGAAAACAGGAGGGGCAGGTAGGCAGGACGTGACAATATGAAGACTGACTTTACATCTCTGAATGCATACTTCACATAAATTGTACTCTGATCACATCATAAAGCCATGAATTCCATGGCGCAAAAGAAAACAGTTTTTAGAATTTCTGGTTGTGGGTGAGATGCACTGAAACAGAACGCAGAACAATCCACAGGTCATGAGAGCAATAATAATAGCAGAGGTGTGAGACACCGCAGGCCAGTCTGTCAGAGGTTCTTTACAGACACCACAGGTATTCCTCATTGACAATAAATTCAGAAATTTGGCTCCAGTACCATTTTCTTCCTCATAAATTGTTGAACGAAAAATAATATCCTACAGTGAATGGGCCACTTTTCTCCCACATTACCTTGGACCTCTGGGTTATGTTCTGTGATATGTCATTTCTATAAAGGAATGGATTGATGTGAAAAATGCATTGACATCATGGAAAAAAATGTGTTGCCCCAATACTATTCACCAATACGTATTATATAAATTTTGAAAGCTGCATTAATTGCCTGAATAATTAACATATTCATAAAAAGACACCCAATCTCGTACAAAGGAGAACATTCTAACACAGCTCAAAAGCTGGTTAAAAATAAAATAATTTAAAGTATCCGTGCAAACTTTCAGATAAATGGGACTTTAACCTACAAAAAGGCAAAAATATTTGCAGGGAAGTACTTTTATAATAAACTAGCACAGAAATATGGGAGTTTTAAAACTCACAATTTCCTTTATCTTTTCAACATAAAATATAGATTTGCTCAGAGCAGCAACACTGGTTTGCTCTATTATATCTACAAAAAAAGGACATCACCATAGACACACACAGCACACAACTAAATATTTTATTTTAAAACAAAAATACTGTTTTATAGTTATTTCATTTTAGTTTAAAACATTACTGTAAAATTTCTTATTCTCCAAAATGTTTTCCTGGAACCTGCTGCTCCCACAAGCTGCTGACATCTCAGGCTGCAGTGAAAGTTGCTGACTGGCACTCAGAGAGCGGCAGGCATGGTGGTGTGTTAATGTAATCCACCATCCATCCTCCAGCAGCACATGCAGTACAGGATTGTAGGGAGGGCAGCATAGACCCCCCCTCAGGCAGTGCAGGGCACAAGGCTGGGGTGCATTCTGGATGGGATGCCTGTCTATCACTGAGCACTCACACAATGGCGATTTAGAAATGTCAGTCATCTGGGAAATGCTTTACTTTGGGGAGGGGGTCACAAATCTTATTGTATTATGCTATGACTTATGTATTAAGTAACCACAAACTAACAATCTCAATCACATACTGATTTCATGTTTGTGACACATCAGTTATCTCAACCAATTACTATATTATTCACTGTATCTGTAATATTGAAAAGCTTTGTGAACTACTGAAGGAACAAGTATTGAATAACAAAAGTGAAATACCGATCTCATGTCTGTTCATCCTTAATCGCGACACATCTTTTATCTCAGGTAGCATTTATACTTGCTAATGATCTGTACTTCACTTCAGTAATAACTGAGTCCCTAAGTATTTGTGGGCCCACCCCCACCAAGTTCTGGACTGTATGAAGAAACCCATAGGAGGAAACCCATAAAGCACATGTGTGCTCCACACAACCACACGCACACACGGACATGCACACATACTGTACAACCACACGCACACACGAACATGCACACATACAACCACACGCACACACGAATATGCACACATACAACCACACGCACACACGAACATGCATACATACAACCACACGCACACACGGACATGCACACATACAACCACACACACACACGAACATGCACACATACAACCACACGCACAAACGGACATGCACACATACAACCAGACGCACACATGAACATGCACACATACAACCACACGCACACATTCAACCACACGCACACACGAACATGCACACATACAACCACACGCACACACGGACATGCACACATACAACCACACGCACACACAAACATGCATACATACAACCACACGCACACACGGACATGCACACATACAACCACATGCACACATACCACCACACACACACGAACATGCACACATACAACCACACGCACACACGGACATGCACACATACAACCAGACGCACACATAAACATGCACACATACAACCAGACGCACACACGCACATGCACACATACAACCACACGCACACACGGACATGCACACATACAACCAGACGCACACATGAACATGCACACATACAACCACACGCACACACGAACATGCACACATACAACCACATGCACACATACAACCACACGCACACACGAACATGCACACATACAACCACACGCACACATGAACATGCACACATACAACCGCACACACACACACACAGGACAGGCTGCCAGTTCCCATCCCTGCAGGTCTAAGGTGTCAGTGCCACCAACTCAGCCTCCATGCTGCCTTGTTTAGTCGAAATACGTAAAAATGTAAATTAAAATTTTCTGCAGAATTTCCACTCAAAAAAAACAAAACTGTC